GAGACTAAGCCAAGTGTCCTAACTCAACATAAAAGGGAAAGAACTCAGGGCCAGCCTGTGGCCTACTAGTTAAGGCAGTTGATTTCCACATGGCTAACGACATGGTTCAAGTTCCAGATCCAGCAACTTGAAAAACCTGCCAGGCACATGTGCATATAAGGAGAAGGGACTGTGGTGTGACCATGCCCCACGAAGAATTGTCATTTTCATTCTAACCTGCTCAACTGTTTGTTTTTGTTTTGTTTTTTCTGCTATGCACTTATTACTTTTATAATAAACACAAATTTAATAAAGGAGTAAATACATCTGGGGAGATACAAAAAGTGATTAGTTATTCAATACATAGTGCTCTTCTCAGTTTGAATCTCAATAAATCTGGAGAAAGAGCTATCTTAGCTTAAATGACCAGCTGTGGAAACAAAACTACTACTATTTTAAAGATTTTTTTTTTGGCTAACTATAAAAAGGCACACACCTAAGCTCTCTAGGCTGCTTTTTAAGGGCAAAATTAAAGGCAGACCTGAAGGAATGAGAGTTAAGAGGAAGCAAGTCTCGCATTTGCAGTATGAACAGCCCTTGACCACTACGCAGTTCAGAATAAAAGCAGCACTACCAACTAGGAAGCATTCAGCTTCTGCAAATGTGAGAAGAAAGCTTTTATTTAGATAAGGCAAGGAAGAGATGGGAGAGCAGCAGGAAGATGGCAATAAGAACGTTATGATGAAAATTAGTGAAAAGCTGAGAATAATAAGCATAGAGGTGGGTGGGTAAGTGGGTGGGTTTGTGGCTCTCCTCCCCTGCCAGGTGGAAGAGCCTGAACCCACCCCTTCAACTGCTCAGAAAGCAGAAGGACCTAGGCTGGAATGGACCATAGAGGCTTCCATTACTGCCCATTTGGGGCTCACCCCCAACCCAAGTCTATAGCCAAGAAAGAGGCTTATGAGGACGGTTGGGGCCAGAGGCACAGAACCTCAGACAATCACACCATGAATGCGGGCAGATTTCCCAAGCAGATGACTGCCTACATCAGAATTCTACCAGGAAGGTACTCTCCAATGTGCTCACAGGCACAGAAATCAGGAAAAGGAGAACTGGAAGGCAATTGTTAACTATACACCATGACCCAGTAATTCTACTTCTAGAAACGGATCCTCAGGAAATAACCAGAAGTTTGATAAAGGTTTATTGTAGGGATGCACATAAAGTATTATTGATAGGTATAAAAGGTGAAGGACCAGTAGACAGCATAATGGCTATGACGCTGGACTCCCACGTAGTTGATCATGGTTCAAGTCCTTGACTGGGTGGCTTAAAATTCATGCTGGGTGCATATGTGCCCAAAATCTCAAGAAGAGAATGGAGGGGAAGGGATTGTGGAATGGCCATCCCCCCTGGGGAGTGATTTCTGACTTTCTGTCTCTCTGGAGAACACACTCTCCATTAGCAAAAAAATCTAAAAAAGAAATAAAAGGTAGGAACAAATGAAATGGGTAGTAGGTGAGGGTCAATAAATGATGATGCTTTCTCACAAGTGAGTACTACAATGGAGACAACAGAAAGATAATTAAATGAATGAGGAAATATTGACAACATGTAAAATATGGGGGGAAGGCTAAGAAACGTAAAGTATAACCTGAGAATAATATTCTTCATGCAAGAGGGCGGTACTTCATGTGTGGTGTTACAGATCACCAGTTCCTACCTATTATCCACTCTTCCCTTTATTCCAGTATGTACCAGAATCTCGGTATATTGAGGCAACAACGTGCCTGTCTAAAAATATGTATTTCCTGAGGTCTAGCAGGAAGGGGTGGCCAATGAAGTGTAAGATTTTTTTTTCAATAGAAGTTTTGAGTGTGTGGGGGGGCTTCTGAAAAAAATCTTTAAAGAATTATTTAGCTAAAAGGGACTTTACTCTTTTCCTTTCCTTCTTTTTCAGTGCAGATGCCATGGCTAGAGCTCCAGGAATCACCTTCTCAGCACCAGAAAACGACTTACTACAGATGGCAGATACAGACAAGCATGGGTCCTTGATAATATCATAGGGTTGCCATAACATTCCTGGACCTAACATCAAGCAAGAGAAAAGGAAATGTCTTTCTTTATATAATGTAAAACAATAGTTCTCTTTATTTTTCTTAATTTTAATTTTTTTTAGAGAGAGAGAGATTTTTCCTATAGGCACTTGCACTTACCAGAGAGATAGAAAGCGGGAAATCACCCCGGGGGTAGGGGGGGATGGCCATGCTGCAATACCTTCTCCTCCTTCATCCTCCTCTTGGGATTTTGGCACACAAGTGCATGCACCTGGTGTGAGTTTTAAGCCACCAGGTCCAGGACTCAAACTGCAGTCGACTACATGAGAGTCCAGCAACATAACCATTACATCATCCGTTGGTCCCAAAAGTGGCTCTTTAAAAACCAGTGTTATTTCAGCTCAAATAATAGTGATACAGTGTTTCTCATTCACGCAAATGTGTGTGTGTGTGCATGGGTGTGTAAACGTGTGTGTATACATAGGTGCACGTCACTGGGCACAGAACAGCAGAGAGCAACTGGAGGGTGTCCCTGCCGCAAAGGCTCTCTGGCTGAGCCTCTCACCTGTGGCACAGCTGCATGGCTTCTGCAGCTGCGGTGGCCTCATCCAGCAGGGATGCGTTGGCCATGTCCATGCCTGTGATGTCACATACCATAGTCTGGTAATTGAGTAAACTCTCCAGTCTCCCCTGGGACACCTCGGGCTGGTATGGGGTGTATTGGGTGATCCTGTAAAGGAAACAAAAGGCCACATCCAAGCTGTGACTCTGCTATTCTAAGAAGTTCACGAAATGCTTTCATTTCACAGTTATGACTTGAAAATTAAGTTTGCTTTCTTAAAGGAGAACTATATAACACATAAGTAAGCTTTCCTTCTGGCCTTTGTTAGCTAGTTAAGAATTAAATCACAGTAACATTATCTTTTGTTTGAAATAATTATCTTTAGTTCGAAGATAATCAGTTCTTAGTTTTGTGTATCTGTTTGTTTGTTTGTTTTTTAAATCTTACATTGCTGTTTCAAAGATCTTGAGTTTGAGGTGGCCAGATCCCACATGGTCGACTGCACAGTTCTAAATCCCAGACCCACTGACTTGAAAAACATGTCAAGCAAGTGTGCACACGTACCCAAAGTCCCAAGAGGACAAAGAAATGCAGAAAAATGGTTTGGGATGTGACCATTTCCCATGGGGACGGGAGGGTTCTTATTTTCTCTTTTGCTCTCTCTTTGTCTTTCTCTCTCCAGAGAGTACAAGCACCCTCTGGCAAAAATAAATAAATAAGTAAACAAAAAAAAAAGTCCAAGGAAAATTAATTTTCATAATTTTATCTTATTTATTATTATTCTTTTAATTTTGCTATAGAGCACATGTGCTCGAGAGAGAGAGAGAGAATGTGAGAAAGCAAGCCACCAAATTTGGGACTTAAACTGCAGCCTCTCATGTGGGAGTCCAGTACTTTAACCACCACGCCATCTGCTAGCTCCAGGAAAACAAATATTATTTTTAAGATATTCAATTAATATTAAAATATTCATTGGTGTAATGGCTATGTCGTTGGACTCCAATGTAGTCAATCATGGTTCGAGTCCCGGACCCGGTGACTTAAAACTCACACCGGGCACATGTGCATGTGTGCCCAAGATCCCAAGAGGATAATGGAAGAGAAGGGATTGTGGCATGGACAACTCCCCCAGGGGTTGATTTATTGTTTTCTCTCTCTCTGTCTCTCTCTTTCTGGCGAGTGCACGTGCCCTGTAGCAAAAACCTCTCAAAGAAAAAAAAAATTAATGGATTCCCCTCGTATATGTTTTGTTGAGAGCAGCCTCTTAAAATTCACTTGAATTCACCTATGATATTATAAACAAGTGTCACTTCCTATTATGCTTCTTCTAGATACAAGAACACTCTTCACAGTTCACTATAGGAAAGCACCCAAGACTCTAATAATATCCAATACTCAAGCTCCTCTCCCCTCTTTTGAATCTTTCTTTTATACTAACTGGAAGAAGTTATTCACGTGCCTAAGAAGTCAATAGAAGCCTGTTTAAGAATTCTCATTATCCAGCTACTGAGTCTATGAAGTAAACTCTGTAGCTATTGAAAAACAGAGATGCAAATGATTACAGGGCGACATACCCTTGGATTCTAACTTTATGACCTGAAGTTATTAACCAAGAGTGTAGTTTTGGTCATGTGAGTTAACCCACTTATTTCCTTCATCTTTATTTTCATTCCTTCATTCATTCACCCATACTACAACTATTTATGGCTCATTAAGTGCCAAGAACTACTATAGACTCACAAGCAAAATAGATAACTGTCTCTGATTTCAAGGAAAATACAGTCTAATGGGGGAAACAGGACAAGAAATAAATGGAATCATTTCAGAATAATACCTTTTTTATTGTTTTGTCTTTAGTTTGCTATAGGGCACATGAACTTGATGGAGAGAGACAAAGAGATAGAGAGATTGAGGGAAAATGAGAAATCACGCCCTCTCCCAGCCCCAGAGAGGAAGTCCATGCCACAGTCCTGTCTCCTCCACTCTCCTCTTGGGATTTTGGGTATACACCCACATTTTCAGCGTGGTCTGGGACTCAAACCATGCAGTAGGCCATGTGGGATCCAGCTGCTTCAACCTCTATGCCACCTGCTGGCCCAGTGTTAAATGTTTTAAAACGAAATAAGGTGAGGAACAGAGAGTGACTACGAACTTTTGAAGGAACTGCCACCTATCAACAATAATACTTTCATTCTACCTCTGAGGTGGGTCCATCTAGGTCTGTGCTGCTGCTTGGGACCTATATTGTTTAGAAACTTCCAAGTCAAAAGAGTTCTAAAAAAGGTTTTGAGTGTTTTGCTTTGCTTTGCTTTTTAATTCCTTTAATCCTTGTTCCTTTATCTCCTGTTCTGGTAATAATGTTCAAGATATTTTGATTCTCTTTTTCTATTTTTTTTGTCTGCAGACCTTGAAATCAGTGTTTTCTTATCTTTGAGGGTGACTGGGATAGCGATGTTGCCTTATAGCAGTACTATGTGAAAACTTTTAAATAAATTTCTGAAACTTTTATTGGTATAACAGTATGTTGTGTGTGTGTGTGTGTGTGTATGCACACACAGCAGAATAAATTTTTGCTTCACTTAACTCCTTGAACAGCCTAGCTTAGCAACTGTAAATTAGTTTGCCAAATTCTAAGTGGGTGGTGAACTGGAATGAATGAGGCACACAATACGTGGTGTAGGCAAGTAGAAAGGGAATCTGAAAAAAACGGGGTCATACAAAAGGCACAGACGTTGTGATCTCAAATCAGACAAGACCATCCACACAGCTTGCCCTCCTGCAGAAAGACATGTCACTACTCCTGCCATATGCTCAGACGGCCTAAAACAAAACTTTCATTTTACTCAGAATCATGATTTGACATGTACATGTACACACACACACACACACACACACACACACACACACACACACATGTACCAGCGTGCTTTTCTGATAAATGGGAAAGATTCAGTATATCCATAAAGATAGACACTGGACATACAATAGGAAGAAAGAGCAATGCTCAAAGAACTCATCACAGCTGAGTATGACAGGAAACATGAGCAATAAAGTGGCCACTACAATGAGAATGATTAAATGAATTACACAACATAAACATAACGCTACACATTTTCTGAAAATAATGTTGTAGAAGAATGTTTCCTGACATGGAAGATGCTCATAATGTGTTCATTTAAAAAGTGAATGTAGGGGTACCAGTAGTTAGCACAATGGCTATGTCGCTGAATTCCATGTAGTCGCGACCACAGTTTGAGTCCCAGACCCGGTGGCTTAAACTCACGCCGGGCACGTGTACACGCATGCCCAGGATCCCGAGAAGAGAATAGAGAGGGGATTGGGGCCTGCTCATGCCCCCTGAGGGGTGATTTCTCACCTTCTGTCTCTCTGACTCTCTCTGTCGCTCTGGTGAGCACGCGTGCCCTATGGCAAAAATGTCTCCAAAAAAAAAAAGTGAATATAAGATATTATGGTATTTTTTATAAATTTGTAAAAACAATGATGTAAACCAAAATATAAACAGTGTTTGTATATTTCAAATGTTAAAGACATCAGCTACCATTTATGAACCATCTGCTATGTGTCAGAACACATTTACTATCTTTTTTATGATTAGGTTATTCATGTTCATTGTAACAAATTGGAAAAATCAGACAACTATTGAGAAAATAAAACCACTCCTACCTTCAAGATAAATATAGTTAACATTTAGGAGTGTGTATTAATTTGCCAGAGGGTGCATGTGCTTCCCAGAAGAAGCTGGGGGGTTGGGGGAGCTATGGGAAAGCACTCCCCATGGGAAATGGTCATGCCACAATCCCTTCTCTGCCATCTCTCACTTCTTTTAGGATTTGGGACATGCATGCATGCTCACCCCAGCTTGTTTTTCAAGCCTCCAGGTCTGGGACTTAAATAACACAGTGGGTCTGGTGGGATCTAGCTGCCTTAACCATCATGGCACCACCTGACCCTGGGTGCATTTCTATCCAGTCTCTTTTGTACATCATAAGTGTGGATATATTTGAAAGGATTATGTTGAGTGTGAGGTTTTGTGTCTTCATTTTTTTTTCCAGTTAACATTATTCTATGGACAATTTCTAACAACTTTAAATACTATTCAGAAATAATGGTGATTGTTCTGTCATGTTAAATCATTTTATTTGATAATATTTAAATCATAATTTATTGATTTAAATTATAATTTATTCAGCAAGTTTCTTCAAGTTGAGTATTACTGTTGATTTTAATATTAGAACTAGCATAGTGAACATCCTTATCTTTATCTTATTTTCTTAGTATAAATTTCTAGAATAGAATTTCAAATCATATGTAATACTTAATTTTAATGCTCTAGTACACATTACTGTGCTCCTCTATGGAAATACCACACTTGTCTATGCTCCCTTAAACAGTACAGTGATTCACAGACTTCCCTCTACCTTTAAAAATACTAAGTATTAAGAAGCCCAGGTGCTGCGGACCAGCAAGTGGCATGGTGTTTAAGGCGCTGGACATTCCCAAATGTCTGACCATGGTTCAAATCCTGGACCTGGTGGCTTGCTTTCTCACTTTCTCTCTCTGTGTCTCTCTCTGGTCAAATTAAAAAACAAGTAAATAAATAAATAAAAATTAAAAATAAATAATTCTAAAAAAAGAAGCAGCAGCCCAAGTGTGTGTTTGTTTTAATTGAGTGGAGTTTAACTGAGCAAATCTTAACACCACAGAAGCCCAGGTTTTTAACCTTAAATTTTTTAAATTGTTATTTGTGAACCTCTCTGTAGCCAGTTTTCCTGGTTATCAGTTGAGAAGACATCACCTATATTGGATATTTTTCCTAACACTCCGATTACTATACATAAAGAATTTTAGAAATGTTAGCGTACTATACATAAAGAATTTTAGAAATGTTAGCATACTACCCAACTATCATTCAAGTGAATAATACCATAAATTAGCAACTTTAAATCTTTTGAATTTCAAAGGAATACTTGAAAATTGTTGTTTCTTATCTCTCTAACTTCTGGAAATGTATGTGAATATGTGTCTGTATGTAGTTTTTTTAGGGGTTTTTTTTTGAGAAGTTTTTGCTATAGGGTGTGTGCGCTCTCCAGAAAGACAGAGAGAGGCAGAAAGAAAGTGAGAAATCACCCCCCAGGAGGGATGGCCACACTGCAATCCCTTCTCCTCCATTCTCCTCTCAGAAGCATGCATGCACAAACGCCAGGCGTGAGTTTAAGCCACCAACCGGGTCCAGGACTCGAATCACAGTCGACTACATGGGAGTCCAGCGAAGCAGCCATTACGCCAACTGCTGGTCCCTGTGTCTGTATGTGTTTTAAGACTCAGTATATAACCAGTATTTTTCAATCACCTATGGGTTCTTTAAAAATTGTCTTTTCCCTGTTTTGATAGTTAAGAAATCTTTAAATGCACACACTCATAGACCTTTCCCAATAGATTTATTTATAGTTCATTCCAGATACTACTAAATAGTTCTGCTTCAAATCTATCCTATCCCATATTGACTTCCCTTTTTCTGCTTTCTCTTGACTAGACTCCTAAACAGTTTCTCTTTCTGAATATTCTTTTCTTTTTTTTTTGAGAAAGAGATTTTTGCCTTAGGGCATGGGCACTTGCCAGAGAAAGAGAGAGACAGACACAGTAAGAGGGAAAGTGAGAGGGGCTGGCAAGTGACATGGTGGTTAAGGGCACTAGATTCCCACATGGCCAACTGTGGTTTGAGTCCTGGACCTGGTGGCTTGCTTTCTCATTCACCCACCCTCCTCTCTCTCTCTTTCACTCTGGTCAAATTAAAAATAAATTAATTAAAAAAAAAAAAGAGGGGAAGTGAGAATCACCTCCCAGGGGGAGATGGCCGCACCACAATCCCTTCTCCACTCTCCTCTTGGATTTTGGGTATGCATGCACATGCATCCAGCATAATTTTGAAGCCACCAGGTCCAGGACTTGAACTGCGGTTGGCCATGTGGGAGTCCAGTGACGTAAACACTATGCCTTCTGCTGGTTCCCCTGCATATTTTTATGCCTTCAAAGGCACCACCATTCTACCAATTCTGAAGGAAGAAACATTAAATACTGAGCCCCAGCACCACATGGTGGTGTAACAGTAATGCAATGCTCTGCAATGCTAATTAACATAGGAAGGTTCCAGGTTTGCATCTGGAGACCTCCCTGACCCCACATGGTGTACATGCCCATGATCTGGGGGACTGAATCTGGCAGAAGATTGAGGCATCAAGACCTTGTGAGGGGGTGCTCTCTTTCTCTTCTCTCTCACAAACAAAAAAAGAAAGAAAACTTTTAAAAAATGTGTCCAACTCCAAATCATGACTAACAAGCTTTCTTGTGATATCCTATATCATCCCCATCTTTTTTGCCTTATAAGTTTAGCACAGTGCTTAAAATAGAAAATTATCTAACATTTGTCGCATAAGTATGTTTTCAACTCTCCCGCTCAACTATTACTTATTTTCTAAAGAATTATTTTATTTAACTTATTTATTTATGTATTTGTTTGTTTATTTATTTGTTTTCAAGAGACTTTTGCTAAAGGGCGCGTGCACTCATCAGAAAGACAGAGACAGACAGAAAGTGAGAAATCACCCCCAGGGAGGATGGCCACACCACAGTCCCTTCTCCATTCTCCTCTCAGGATCTTGGACATGCACACACACATGCCTGGCATGATCGTTTAAACCACCGGGTCTGGGAATTATTTTTAAAAATCTATTAAAGGACTCAGGACAATGAGTTTCAGGCCTGGAAATAAAAAATAAACCCTGGTTTGAGAAGAAAAAATGCTATGGAAGGGCCTGCCATCATCCATACAAGGGTTCGTTTGCCTCAACTGAGTAAAACATTAGTGATGAAGAGAGTGTGTCTGTGATCCATAATGGGCATGTTTCAACTAACTAACTCAATTGGCTTTTGTTTATAGATGTATTTTAATATTAAAAAAAGAGTATCTTCACAGTCAAAAAGGCATTTAGTTCAGCTCACATAGGAGGTTTGATATAGTCAACATGGCATTAACATATACTCCAAAATAATTATTACTCTCTTAGCATTTTGACTGTGATTTTTTTGGAATTTGAAAAGAGGGATTTAGAGGGGTTTTGCAATAGGATAAACAATCATGAAATTCTCTCATTTTAATCCTGGTGGCAACATTATGCCAAGGAGTAGCCAAAAAGAGAACAAATGTTCTGATATAAATTACTGATGCTAACAGCAATTGAACAATTGTAGCAGTGAACCCTATACAACAAATTCTAAACCTGATATAAGAGCCCAAATATTTGTATTCTTTCTAGGCTGTTGTCCATTTATTTTCAGCTCACGTCACCGGAATTTGTTGGCTCCATCTCTATGGAAACCATTCAAAAGGATGATAATATGAAGTCTACCACCCACGTGTGCACAGTCCTCCCTATCAGCTCAGGCATGGTGCAGTATCACTCTCTGGGTCAGATCAGCTTTCGGGGAACCAGAAGAACAATATTTAAAATATGTTCAGAAACAGAAACTGAAAAGCACAGGACAACATTGTCTTTCTCTGAAAACACTGGCAGCTCCTAACATAAATTAACACATCCGCTCACAGCCAGGAAGCAATATGGTGAATATTCTGCACAGCAGAGAGCAAAGGCTGCTGGCCAGTATTCAGATGGGGAATGCTGCAGCCCATTCATGAACTTTTGAGGCTTTTCTTACAGGGGAAAGAAAGGCCATTTGCTTTTGAAATCAACCTTGCAGTTTACCATTCAAACTTTTACCAATTCCACAGTGAAAAAGAAGTACTCAGCTATGCAAACACATTCACACACATACGAAAAGCAGAAAAACTAATTCTTTGATGGTCCCGCTTTCCTGTTCTTTTACTAATAAAGGGAGCATATTGAAACTAAAAGCTATGTACAGGATGGCAATGCACGAGAGATCATGCCAGCAAATCTGGATCCGACAATTATGTGACACAAATAATTGCATTTTGGACAAAGCACTCTCACCCACCAGGATGACCCTGCACTTATGGAAAAGCAGACAAAGATGCAAAGCGTTGATTGAATTCTTGCGTTTCATTGATTTGGGAGGCCACCAGGTGGCATAGTGGTTAAGGTGCTGGATTCACACATGGCCATTCGCAGTTCCAGTCCAGAGACCGTGGTTCAAGTCCCGGACCAGGTGGCTTAAACTCATGCTAGGCATGTGTGCGTGAGTGATCCCAAGAGGAGAATGGAGGAGAAGGGATTGTGGCTTGGCCATCTCCCCTGGGGGGGGGGGGGGCTGATTTCTCGCTTTCTGTCTCTGTCTGTCTCTGTCCTTCTGGTGAGCATAAACATCCTACAGCAAAAACTTCTCCAAAGAAAAAACAAACAAAAAAACCCACTGGGTACATGTGCGTGTGTGCCCAAAATCCTGATAGGATAGAGAGACGTAGGGAGGAGGACTGTGGCATGACCGTACCCCACTTTCCTTCTTTTTTTCTTTCTTTCTTTTTTCCCTCTCTTTTTTTCCCCTCTCTCTGTCTCTGGCCAGTACATGTACCCTCTGGAAATAAAAGGGGGAAAAAAAGGACTTTTTCCATTTTAGACTAAGGCATGATTTGAAATAAAGTTGTAATCAAATATTCTGGGATATCAAATGGCATCTATCTAACAAGGAAGGAAAGGAAAGCCTGGGCATCCCCACTTTCCTCCCATAGGTAGACATTATTTCCCAATGACGAGACAGAGCAGATGCTCGATCTGCCTCAGACCCTTTTGGAGCCATGGCCTCTGCCTGCCAAGGGATGCCCAATGTGGATTTTTACTTAGAGTTGGCATGTGAACCTCTACATGGTTCTTTATGTTGTACAACAACGGACAATAACAAAATAGCATGGCGGAGCAGAAAGGGTTGCAGCTGGCCATCCCCCGAGAAGTGATTTCTCACTTTTTTTCCCTCTCTCTCTCTCTCTGTCTCTCCCTGGTGAGCATACATGGCCTACAGCAAAAACTTAAAGAAGAAGAAGAAAAAAAGAAGCTAATATCACGATCTCCATACGAGACTACTGTCTTCTTTTTCAGTAGGTTGTGAATCCAGAATATGATGGGGGGAAGGAGGAAGAGGGACATAATTACCTATAATCTTTTAAGTCCTGACAGAAGATGATGGACTAGATTCTCTCCCAGACTCCAACCCTGACCTGCTGAGTAAGCTCAGACATAGCCTAAAATCTAAGGATCTTCAAAGAGAAAGCCCTGAATCTACCCACCTGTAGGTGTGGCATCTTGCTCAAAGACAGTATAGAAGTTAAGTTAGAAGAGGAAGAAATTACTAGCATCAGCAAGATTTTATGAGAATGAAAGTGGGGAGAAACTTGCTTTCTCAACATGTGAGCAAGATTTCCCATACCAGAGAACAGGGTAGGTTTCTGGAGGGTAGAGACAGCACAAGTGGTGGTAGCTGGTGTCAGTGTATAGGTTCAGATATTCCAGTGGGAAAGGTGGAGTGGGGGGATTCATGCACATCACGGAGCTCCTTGGCTTTAACCAAGAGATACATTACCATCCTGGGTTCTCCAGTAAGTTTCGCAAAATTGTCTGTGGCACTGAGCAATTGTAATACCCCATGCCGATATACGATCTCCAGATCTGGTTTTTGCTTGAGATGGCATGCAGAGTTGCAAGGATTTCATTTTCACCTGAATGTGGGAAAGAGAGAAATGTCACATGAAGAAAAATATCTCAGAAGATAAATTTTGTTTCAATATTTATATGAGGAGAACAGCTATATTAAAAAGTCCTGTACATGGAAATTTGAAAAAAAAAAAAAAATCCCAAAATAGCATTCAATTTCTCCTCAAGATGGGACCTGCACATAATTGTACTATTCTTTTTTTAAAGAATTTTTATTTTATTTTATTAATTCATTTATTTTCATTTGACCAGAGAAAGACAGACACACAGAGAAGAAAAGTGAGAAAACAAGCCACTGGGTCCAGGGCTTGAACCATGGTCAGCCATGTGGGAGTGTCCAGCGCCTTAACCACCACGACATCTGATGGTCTCTAATTTTACTATTCTTTTTTGGGGGGGCTGTTTGCCAAAATTGCCCATTTTTAGCATTTGACTCATTCCAGGTATCTTCTGCTTCCTTTACATTTATGTAGTGTTTACTCTAAATAAAAATTCCATCTCTCAGTAAAATAAATATTTCCCTTTTTCATTACCTTATATATTCTGGAAGCAAGCATCATTTAGATTTTTCTCTCAATTCATTCTACTAAGGTAACTGTTTTTCCTTTGTATCATTAAATGCCCATCAACATATTAATAAAATATTAGTTATAATAAAAGTCACACATGCAGTTTTTTCTTTCTTTTTTTTTAAGGCACGTGCTCTCTCAAGAGAGACAAAGAGTGTGAAAGTGAGAAATCATCCCCCAGAGGACATGGCCACACCCAATCCTTTCTCCTTCAATCTCTCTCAGGATTTTGAAAGTTTAGGAAATAAGTGGAAATACCATAAACCAACATCTGAGTAAAATAGGCAAGGATCGCATCCTCAGGAACAGCCATGGAAGAAATCCAATCATTTCCCAAATAATCTTCCTAGGGGGCAGAATGATTCAGAAGCCCAGGAGGAGGGGAAGAGACTAATTAGCAGTGCCTGGCAGGCTAAGCCAACTTCAATTAAGATCCTGTGCAAAAGGGACAGGTCCTTGCTCCAGATTACACCATGAGGACAAAAGGTCCAGCTTTCGAATGAGAATGGTCTGTGAAGGGCTTTGCCAGTCAGATGAAGAGTTTAGCTTCTGGAAGTCATAGAGTATTTTCAGGCTGGATAATATGACTCTTTCTACATGATAGAAAAATAATCATTTTATTACTGGTGTGGAGAGGCCACAGAGGAGAGACTCCTGGACACAGGCAGATGTAAGAGGCCTATACAACAGTCCCAGAGGGAGGTAGGTCAAGGGAGTATTGTGGGTTGAAATGTGCTCCCAAAATGGTATGGTGAAATCCAAACCCTCAATACCTGTGAATGTAACCTAATTTGGAAAAGGTGTCTTTACTGATATAATTAAGTTAAAATGAGATCATTATCAGATTAGGGACAGTCCTAACGTAAAGACCAGTGTCCTTATAAGAGGGAAATTTGGACACACACACATACACACACACACACACACACACACACACACACACACACACACACACACACACACACACACACACACACACACACACACACACACACACACACACACACACACACACACACACACACACACACACACGGAGAGGACCATGTTCTAACAGAAACAGAGATAGGCATGATGTATCTACAAATCAAGAAATGCCAAGGATTGCCAACTAGCAGTAGCTAGGAGTGAGGCATGGAACACTCTCTTTCAGAGCCACCAGAAAGGAACACTGCCAACACCTTGTTTTCAGACTTTGAGCCTACAGAATTGTGAGAGAATCAAGCCACCGTTTTGTGGTGCTTTATTATGGCAAACGAATAGGAGCTGGATCTGTCACTTTTAGGTGAGGCTGTGCTACATTTAGGCCCTGCTACCAGTTAAATCACACTTGCAGACTTGGTGAGCTCCAGCACTTTGCTAGACATGCTTGTCCATAAATCGCGACGGTTCTACTAATGGAAGTGATTGATCTAGGTAGTGTATGCCATTCTCTTTACTAAACAACCAGGCACAAGAACATCAGCGCCCCTTTTCTGGAATGTGTTGCAAATGTGCGTGGAGAGGTGCAGCAACTTTCCCACGGCTCCTCAGTTTGACTCGGTCAGATGCCAGAGCCAGAAATCCAGCCACAGTTCTGCACTGGGCTTGCTCACTCTCACACCCTAATGTGGGAAAACAGCAGCGGCTTACAGTCATGGTCCACAGTAGCCAGGCCGAAATAACCAGCTAAATGGCTCGTTTTCAAAAGGCTCCACGCCTGGGGAAAGATAATCTACTGGCAGCTAAAATAATTAGAAATATGGGACCAGCAGGTGGGGTGGTGGTTAAAGCGCTGGACATTCCCACATGGCCGACCCCAGTTTGAGTCCTGGACCTGGTGGCTTGCTTTCTCACTTCCCCTCTCTCTATCTCTTTCTGTGTGTCCATCTTTGTTCAAATAAAAATAAATGAATGAACAAATAAAACTAACTAAATAATTATTTAAAAATAATAATAATAGTTCGAATAACTAAGTGGAAATTGGTGGGATCCAATAGGGTTATTAAACCAACAGTCCTCACAGCTAGTCAAACTGCCACCACCATCCTGCAGTGCAAGAATCTCCGTCCCATTCTTCTACCCCAAAAGAATATAATGGGACTAGAGAGAGGAATTTAATGATTGTGCCAAGAATCTCAACTATGGTTCCTCATTGGGCCAAATTATTTTAAAGATGAATTTCAAAGACCAGCCCAGTAGCATAGCAGTTAAGCTCCGTGCACAGGAAGCTCCATGATCGACCATGATTTGAATCCCAACCGTGGCACTTTGAAAAGCACACTAGGCACAAGTGCCTGTGTGTCCAAAATCTCGACAGGATGGAGAAATCGAGGAGAAGGGATTGCAGCCTGACCATCCTCCACAGGGGATGGTTTCTCACCCCTTCCCCATCTCTCTCAGGTGAGCACATATACAGTATCTTCTCTGGCAATTTTTTGTTTGTTTGTTTGTTTGTTTGTTTTTTAAATGCACTTAAAAAATTCAGATTCAGGGACCAGCAGTTAGCATAACGGCTATGTCACTGGTCTCCCACGTAGTCGACCGTGGTTCGAGTCCCGGACCTGGTGGCTTAAAATTCACGCCAGGCGCGTGTGCGTGTGTGCCCAAGATCCCGAGAGGAGAATGGAGGAGAAGGGATTGCGGCATGACCATCCCTCCTGGGGGGTGATTTCTCGCTTTCTGTCTCTATGTCTCTTTCTGTCTGTCGGGCGAGTGCACGCACCCTATAGTGAAAACCTCTTAAAAAAAAAAAATCTGCTCCTCTCCCATGTGGAGGTGTTGATGTACTGTTTTGATTTTTGTCTGTAGACCTTTTTTATTTTTTTTTAAGAATTTTTTTTATTTAATTTTATTCATTGTCTTTTTTTTTTTTTAAAGTTGACCAGAGAGAGACAAAGAGGGAGAAGGAAAGTGAGAAAGCAAGCTACTAGGTCCAGGACTTGAACCATGGTCATTTATGTGGGAGTCCAGCTGCCTTAACCACCATGCCACCTGCCAGCTCCTTGTCTATAGACCTTTAGAAGTTCTTTACCATGATAGATCTGCTCTAAGGGAAAAAAGCTAGAAACTATAGGAAGGGAATGGGCACCACCCAGGTCCTGACAATCGGCTCCACAAGACCAGACTTTCAGTAAAAAAGATAAATTGGGGACCAGCAGTTGGTGTAATGGCTATGTGGCTGGACTCCCATGTAGCCGACCGCAGTTCGAGTCCCGAACCCGGTGGTTTAAACTCATGCTGGGCGCATGTATGTGCGTGCCCAAGATCCCGATTGAAGAATGGAGGAGAAGGAATTGCAGTGTGGCCATCCCCCATGGGGGTGATTTCTCACTTTCTGTCTCTCTGTTTCTTTCTGTCAAGCACACATGCCCTATAGTAAAAACCTCTCCCCTGCCAAGAAAGGAAAGATAAGTTGAATAGGAGTATTGCAGGGGATAAATGGTAGCCATGTTTTTCACTTTTAGAGATGGAATACAAGAATCAAGATGTCACCTGCCAATTAGAAAGGGGCAGGAAGCTGATGTATAAGGAAGCCCACAAGTGTTTTGAAAGTTTTCCACCTTGGTAGCATAGGTCATAGACATTAAGATCAACCAGTCTGGCTTCACATTCTTGACTTTTTTTAATCAGTATTTTTTTGAGTAATTAAACGTTTATAATTTTTCCCTTTAAAAAACTGAACTGTGGGGACCAGCAGGTGGTGTGGTGGTTAAGGTGCTGGACACTCCCACATGGCTGACCAGGGTTCGAGTCCTGAATCTGGTGGCTTGCTTTCTCACTTCCTCTCTCTCTCCCACTCAACACCTCTCTCTCTAGTCAAATTAAAAAAAAAAAAATGAATAAATAAAATAAAATAAATAATTATTAAAAAATAAAATCCCCCCCCCCATGTGGGGATGGCCTGACAGTGACATGGTGGTTAAGATGCCTGGGCCAAACTGCTTGAAAAACATACCAGGCACATGTGTGCCTGTTCCCAAAAATCCCAAGGGGACAATGGAGAAGGGACCGCAGTGTAGCCATGCCTGGTAGGAGGTGCTTTCTCTGTCTCTCTGTCTCTCTCTCACACGCGAGCACATACACCCTAAGGCAAACACATAAATGAATAACTGAACCATGGGGTGTCCAGCCAGTGGCTGGCATAGTGATTGAAATGACTGGATTCTGGGGCCGGCAAGTGGTGTGATGGTTAGTGCTAGACTCCCACTGGCTGACTGTGGTTCAAGTCACAGACCAAGTAGCTTGCTTTCTCACTTTCCCTCTCTGTCTTTCTCTGGTGAGTGCACATGCCCTATGATAAATTAAAAATAATAATAATCATAACAAATAAAATGAAATAATTCTTTAGGGGGAAAAAATGGCTGGATCCCACAAAGCTGACTGCACAGTTTAAGTCTTAGACCCTGTAGCTCAAAAAAATGACTGGTGTGTGCACATGCCCAAAAGCCCAAGAA